AAATCCACTAAGTAACTAGACTAGTTTAATTTTTTGGTCATTACTTTCAGAAATTTCAGCAATTAATTAATGCAGCGCATCTGCTGTGCTGCGTCACAATTGTTCCGCATAATATCCATCCCTGTAAAATATCGATAGATTCTGGCCACTTTCGGTTAGGTGGCAACCTCAAACATGCTGTCATTCTGAATTAAATGGCGCTGCTTTTACAAGCATTTTTAATAAAGTAACTGTCCAAAAATGTCCAGTGAAAGTGATCAGTATTACAGCGACGAGGAGGAGATTTCGGTGGTTAACAACACGAGTTCTGGTGAGTATTTGCTGGGAGTAATTGGATTCGGTACTTAATGCTAGCTGTTTCTATTACTTACCATGCGATCTAGGGCGATCAAGCAAATCCTCGCGTCCCAACAGTCAAAATAGCAAGGGCGCTGGCGTGGTTATAGATGAAACGGAGTCGGAGGAGGAGTCCCAGCTGGTGGAGCAATCAGGGGAATCGGAGGGCACCGAGGAGGGGTCGGACGACTCTGAGGACGACATTGTGAGGCCGCCCGCCAGGAGCACCAAAAAGAAGCCACTGGGGATAAGTTCCGATACCGAGGATGAGGAAGAAGAGCTGGACGACAGCGTGCATTCGCTCGCCAGAATCACCAAGAAGAAGACACAGGCGATTCCCTCGGAAAGCGAGGATGACGACGAAGAGCTGGAACAACGCGCCCTGTCCCCCAGCACTCGCATGAGCATCACTGGCGTGCGTGTCGCCGACTTCAGCGATGGCGACAGCGAGATCGAGTACAGCGATGAGAAGCAGGAGACGCCCAGGGCAGCCGCTACCGAAGATCTTGTGCCGCGCTACACAACCCATTTTGCGGGCAATATCCAAGAGACCCTCCATTCAACCATCGGAGCTGCGGATCCTGAGCCCCTAAATGACTCCAGCGGCAGTGACGTGCTCATACTCAGCAACAGGGAGACACCCATTGAGGTATTATCCAGTACGGATGAAGAAGCCAGCCACAACAAAGAGAACATGTCCGGCCCTCCGTTTATGCGTCCATCTAGGTCCTACTCGCCCAGGAGTAGTGCTGGCGCTCCAGTGGTTAAGACTACCAAAAATCTCAGCCAGCCCACATACAGGCGGCTCTTAAGCAGAGAACTTCGCCCGGCGCACCACGACGCTCTCGGGTTAAGTCCGAGGACCAGAAGGTGGTCAGCCAGGTGGTCTACGAGGAGGAGATACGCAAGCTGGCCGAAAAGCGTGTTCAGCTGTCCGACGCGGAAAAGCTGTTCGAAAAAGTGGCCCACAAGCTACCCGACAGGGGCAGCCAGATTAAAAAACGCATCGACGTCCTCCGCCAGGAGCTCGAAAGGGTTACTCAATACGTGAGCGAACTAAAGGTGGAGCCGAGCAAGGTGCCCGCCATCAAGGTGGTTAAGCCAGCATTTAAAGCACCTATAGCCCCATCAGTCGACGGACCAGACTGGGACGAGTTGTCGGCGGCGGTCCATCAGATACAGCCCGTTTACACGGGAGCCCAAGGAATGGCCACGTTCAATATCCAGAAGGCATTGACCCTTGAATCTCTAAAGGTAGGATAAATTGGGTAAAAGAGTAGAGTTGGTGGAAAATATTCTTGTGTTCGTTGATCTTCAATTGAATTATTAATATTTTCTACGGATAACGCTAGTACTAATGAGATCGACCAACGACTTCTTAGCCTTTTATTTTTTCCACGTGATGAGTCAGAACGGATATCTGAGTAGCATGCTCATATTTGGCGGTCGCTGGGCACGAGTTACTGTGCGGCGGCTGTCCAAGGGCAGGCCAAGATTAAGAATTCAAAACCTGAAAACAGGATTCTGACAAAATAACCCGCTCCATCAAACTGCATTGCAACTAATCAATGTCTTTTTAGGACCTCCATGGCTCACTGAAGGATTGCCCTGGTCCCGAAGTACTGGCGGAGGATCCCCAGGGCTTAAAAGTAACGCTTATGGACCACCAAAAGCATGCCTTGGCTTGGATGTCGTGGCGCGAACGTCAGCTTCCTCGCGGAGGAATTCTGGCTGACGACATGGGACTGGGCAAGACCTTGACCATGATCTCATCCGTGCTGGCATGCAAGAATCGGCAGGAAAGGGGCGAGGGTGAAGATCATAGCAGTGACGAAGACGATGACGATGATAAAAACAAAAAACCCAAAAGTGCAGGCGGATGGAACTCAAAGGGTCGCAAGGACAGTAAGTGTCACCACTATGATAAATCCGTAGGTTGTTGGTTTGTGAAACACAAATATGCATTATTTATTAAAAGTATTTTTTATTTCAGCAAAAATTTCGATTTGATTTAATTTGATTTATTTCAAATTTTTCAGCCCACAAGGGTGGCACTTTGGTGGTGTGCCCGGCCAGCTTGTTGCGTCAGTGGGAGAGCGAAGTGGAATCCAAGGTGGCCCGCCATAAGCTGACCGTTTGCGTGCACCACGGCAACAACCGGGAGACCAAGGGCAAGCACCTTCGCACCTACGACATCGTGGTGACAACATACCAAATTGTGGCACGGGAGCACAAGAATTTGAGCGCCGTGTTTGGCGTTAAGTGGCGTCGAATCATCCTGGATGAGGCTCATGTGGTGCGCAACCACAAGTCGCAGTCATCACTGGCAGTAAGCGATTTGCGGGGAAAATACCGTTGGGCGTTGACTGGTACTCCTATCCAAAACAAGGAGCTCGATGTGTACGCACTGCTGAAGTTTCTGCGCTGCTCTCCTTTCGATGATTTGCACACATGGAAGAAGTGGATTGACAACAAGAGCGCTGGCGGTCAGAACCGCCTCAATCTGCTGATGAAGTCACTCATGCTGAGGCGCACCAAGGCACAGCTCCAGTTGGATGGCAAGCTTAACAATCTGCCCAATAAGGAGCTGCGCTTGATGGAGATTTCGCTGGGCATTGAAGAGATGAATGTTTACCAAACGGTGATGACTTATTCTAAGACCCTTTTTGCTCAGTTTCTCCATCAGCGTGCCGAGAAGGACACGGACTTTAATTATAGGAGCGATGCCAACAAACCGACATATAATCAAATTAAAGATCCCAATGGTGCATATTATAAAATGCACGAAAAGTTCTCTAAAATGGCCGGGAGCAAACGGGAGGTAAAGTCTCATGATATTCTGGTGCTATTGCTGCGGCTGCGGCAGATTTGCTGTCATCCCGGACTGATTGATGCGGTGAGTTGAGGTTACAATATTTATAAAGATTTTGATCGCGATAACGTAATTTTTTAACAGATTTTTAATAGATTAACAGCTTATTCTACATATGTACTGATATTTGTGATTGTTGTCTCAATATATTTTTAATTTCGGATGCGAAATTTTTAAGACCGAATTATTCAAAACAAAGTTCTTAATTGTTGATTCATTAAATCAAATTTACCGAGGTCTCATTTTTAGATGAGACCTTTTATATATTTATGATGCTAAAGAAATCTTTTTCAATTTTTCGGTTGGTGTTGGTTGGAAGAGACTTCTGTAGCATCCCAGAATATCTTTAGAATGTTTATGGCAAACGAACCCGGTATATTTTTATTATATTGCATAGTGTATTCGTCTAAATTTGTATTTCTAGTAACTAATATAAACTATTTTTTAGATGCTGGATGGAGAAGATGCCCAAAATGTGGACGGGCACAGTAGTGACAGCGATTCGCCAGAAATAGACTTGTTGGCACAACTCAATAAACTGGCTATCACAGACACCGCCACCGAGTCTCAGCCGTCTGCTGCCTCTGGAGGCGATACCAGCCTTCCGCTGGGGGCAGATGAGGCTCGTATCGCCAAGGCTTCCAAGAACCTCCTGAAGCGCACAAACCCGGTTTTTAATCTAAACCGCCCCTCCTCAAAAATATCCCACGTGATAAAAATACTCAAAACATCGATTCTGAGGGGCACGGACGATAAGGCCATAGTGGTATCGCAGTGGACATCAGTGTTGGACATTCTGCGCGATCATTTGAATAAGGATAGTGTGCCAACCCTGTCGCTGAATGGAAGCATTCCGGTGAAAAACCGACAGGACATTGTGAACCAGTTCAACGACCCGAATAATCCAAAGCGCGTTCTTTTGTTATCCCTCACTGCTGGCGGTGTGGGTTTGAACTTAATTGGGGCTAATCACTTACTGCTCTTGGATCTCCACTGGAATCCCCAGTTGGAGGCTCAGGCCCAGGACAGAATCTACCGCGTTGGCCAAAAAAAAGACGTGATCATCTACAAGTTCATGTGTGTGGACACTGTCGAGCAGCGAATCAAAGCCCTGCAAGATAAGAAGTTGGAGCTGGCAAATGGCGTCCTTACAGGCTCCACAGTTAGCTCCAAACTCACCATAGACGACCTTAAAGGTCTGTTTGGAATGTGAGCTTGCATACTACTGTTCCATGTTTATAATTTTAGTTGTCGTTCCATGAAAGCATTTCGAAAAAACCGCTTTTATGTTTATTTACAGCGAAATATTTATTCAAGATGAATGTAAATTTTCTTTATGTTTTTATTTCTTTGTTTCGAAGCTTTTGTTTTAAAATTAACTACAATACCGATTTAAGTGTTTGGTGATTTATAATGAGTTCCATTAAAATTGAAATGTGTTCTACTAAGCTTTGATATCCTTATTTTAGTATTTCGCGTTGTTTTTTTAAGCGGATACAATCAAATTCCACTACAATCTGAATAGCATAACATATTTGGTTTTTGTCAAACTGTACAAAAGAAATTTTTAGTGTGTAAAGGAAAACTGTATTCTCTTAAGCTAAGAAATGTACGCTACAGATCAGCCAGATCAGTTCTCAAGAAGTAATAATAAACCGCATGCTTTCTTCACATGGCAGCGCACAGCCCACGAAAAATGTAAAGTATTCTTAAGAGGAGTTAAATAAAATGTAAGTTTCCATCTGATAATCTCATATCAACTACACATGTTTATGTATATGGAAAATTTTTGAAAACAGTGATCTGATAATCTTTTCAATCCTTAACTCGCTTGCCATACAATAATGATCTCGATTCTAAGTGCTCTTGCTTAGGACTAGAACTTGTTAATATAAAATTGTGCCTATGGTTTAAAAAAGATTTAATGTGCCGATCGATATATGTAAGATTCTTGATTATTTCCTTGCAGAGAAACTTTAAACTGTTATGTACAATACGAGTACATGTGTTCACGAAGAGCTACTACTGACATATTCGTCATTGTGTATAATAACTCTCAGTGGAGTTTAGTTCATCATTTTTAAGAATGGTTTACGTTTATTTTTAGTTTTTTTGAGATCAATTTGAAAAGGTTTTCTGGGTAGTACAATTTCATAATCTAGGTGTTTTCTGATTTTCACATATCGATGGAATTATGTCAAAGCCTGGTTAAATATTAAATAACATTCTGCAGAAACTGGGTCTTTCTGTCACTCTTGGTATGTTGGGGTCATCCTTTGCAATGATATCCAGTGTAGACGCTTACTTTACCTAATTATCGCTGTAAGGAAGATAAAAAAGAAAGATTATTATTATTAAGGAAAAACACTTGAATAAGTGTGTCGACTTGTTAATTAGTTAGAAATTTGAAATTGCATTGGCAATATGGTTAAGCGCGAGTGCGGCGTAAACCGATTTTTAATGCCAACGATCCCAGCGCGCCCATATGGGTGCACTGTCTCGGCCATAAAAGCCATTAAAATCATTGTAATGTCTGACAGTCAGTCAAAGGCAGCTGAGGCGAAGACGACACCGGGCCAAGATGTCCTGGGCCAGCTTACCTGCTCACCAGCGGCTCAGTCCATGTCCTCGGACTCTTAGGCAATGAGCTGCGCTCTGGCGCTCGTAAAAGCAAATTTTATAGCCACCGTTGGCCACGACCAGACCAAGTGGCCGGGATGGAATGGGTTGGATAGGACGGAACGGCAGCCAGGTCCGCACAATATGGGAAGCAGCTGGGCTCCGACCCGAGAGCTTGATTTTATAATGCGAAATGTGATTTTTACGACGCGTTTTAAGATAATGCGGCAGGCGCTGAATCTCGATTCTCGATTCGTTTTGCCTGATTTCTAATTGTCGTAGTCATTTGAGCTCAAGATAACATTGAAAACCACTTTTTCCCCACCCTGCACTATAAAGCCAAAAATTTAAGAGACTTGAAAAAATCAATAAACAATGAATTGGAAATGGTAAACAACTGAATAATTGAAAAAATCAATAAAATAAACTGTAGTTTGTTAGCAACATCTTAGCCTCTTTGTGAGTAAGCAAGTATTAATCAAGGACTGTAAGTTGATAGTACTTATATTTAATTTTTGTATTAATATTATGATTTCATTATAGAATTTATTATTATTATTGTACACTGTTATTATATCTCTCTTTTCTATTGACAAACAAGGTTTTAGTTGAGATGAAATTGTATGTAAATTTATTCAAATTATTCTTAAGCTTGTATAAATGTCTATCAGCATTAGTCATCGAGAAATAATTTCGATCTTCCATTTAAAAATTTGTTCTACAGTCGTTATGTTATCTTTTAAAACAAGATTCAATTACTTAAAGGACATTTATCCTTAGCACATAGAGTACTCCGTATTCCCTGTACTTCTGGATTTTAGCTGCTTTATGTCTTTTTTATTTGCCTTTGCAGCTTGAGTCGAATTTTTACGAGGGCCACGAAAAAGTTTCCACTGAAAAAGGAGTAGCTGAAAATGATTTTTGAGGCCCTTGAGTTAAGCTGACTGCGGCTCGGATCGTTTCGGATTGGTTTGCTTTGGTTTCTGGTTTTGTATACACCATACATTATTGTTTATTTTTTAATAATGCGTGTCCACTAAAAACCGAAAGAGCCAAAGAAGAGGAAGCGTAACGCGGCACCATAAACACCGAAGGGCGCTCAGCACGCAAGACGTCGAGGAACAATAAACACGAACGCCGAAAAACAAATGGATGTGTGAGCGGTTTTGAACCCGACCGGAGGATTGAAGTGCCTTGGATGTCGAGCTGGGCTGGAGCTGGAGGAGTAGGAGGAGCTGTCCAAATGGGGCAGACACAGGGGGAATCTCAGGGCGAAATTCGAGCAGCGTAAGCTGAAACCGGAGCCTCGAACCGCGCTCGCTCAAAACTATAACATTTTTGTTTTTATTCCTTTATTTTGTTGTGCTTTATTTTTATAACTAGCATTGCATTTATTATGGCAGCCCCGGGTATCAAGAACAGGCTCGCTCTCAGGCGACGATGATGACTGAGGGGCATTAAAAACGGGGCGATTTACTCCTTTTTTAATGGCAACTCGGCGGAAATTAGAAATCGGCGGAAATGTATGGCAACAATAATATTCAAAATATAATGTATAATGTTTGTTGCTTATGTTTATGCATAATCTTCGGAGGGGACATCGTACTGAGACGGCTACAAAGTTGCTGCTTGAGCAAATGAACAGGAAGTTGGTAGTCTGAATGGGTTTGGGATCTTACTTTGGATGACAAAAATCATGCAAATTCGTATACAGCTTCTACATCTTAATCAATTTACCTCATCAGTACAAAAAAATAAAAGTGCAAATATATTTTATAACTTATGGATCCTCCTAAATCTCGTAAAAGTTTTCGGTATTGTTATTAAATACATGATATATAAATATTTATAAAACCAACCAATATATAAAAATATTAATCGGCTATTAAAAGCATAAAACAATGACATTTATATATTTTATATTAAATAAAGTTTATTCCATTTTTTTTACAATCTATCTTCTGATTTTTCGTTCAAGTAATAAGAATATTAATTTATAGTTAATATTATCTTGCTTAAAAGAATCATGCAACTTCCTTCTACAGCCTCTACATCATAATGAACTCCTTTTTATACCCTTGCAGAGGGTATTATGATTTCAGTCAAAATTTACAACGCAGTGAAGGAGACGTTTATATATAACGCATATATATATTTTTGTCCATGTCCGTCTGTCCGTCCGTTTCTACGCAAACTATTTCTCTGCTTTAAAGCTATCGGGCTGAAACTTTCTAAAAGTCTTATATCTTTTGAAGGTAGTATATAAGTCGGAACATCTATAGCCCATAGGAAAACCGGATTTTTTTTAAATATATCTTTGGTGTTTTTAACATATAACCTCCTACGCTTGGAAATAGCATTTTTTAATAGTTCTAGCTTGAATTTAAGCTTCGAATTTAATAGAACGATTGGGAAATTGGTGGGAAAATAATATGAAACATTTATATCTTCACTGTTTTTTGACATATGTATTATCTTATACATTTTGTGTATTTTTAAGAATTTCGAATTAACTTCCTTTCTTGTTTTCTATTTTATCAATTAAATAAAATAATTATTCTAAATAAGAATTTAAGGAAAGGCGGAAGAAAAGTTTGGTCGCCTCTGGGACACTCGGTGCATGAAACAAAGAATATTTTATTTAAATGTTTAAGGGATTGCTTGCAGTTTTAATTATAGGCCTGGCAAACTCTCTAACCAGCGGTGCTTAAACATTTTTTGTCATGTTTATATGTCACTTTGATGTTTGCGGTGGCATCTACTCGAAACAGAGATCTTTGGAGTATTTTTATACCTCTGCCCGTTCGCCTGACACTTTTGATGTGCCAAGGCATCAGTCAATTTACAGCATGTACGATACACCTTAAATGTGCTTAAACAAATTAGCCGTCGAGTATAATTAGACCAAAAGCAGAAGGCGGTGGGCGTTAGACATTCTCCCAGTGCACTGGGGGCGGTGGATTGAGGTGAGGAGGATTGTCTGGGAAAGTGCGCGGCGGCAAATGGAAACAAAATATCGTAAAATGGAAACTTATGCATTTATTGCCATTTTGGCCAGGGCAACAAAAGCGAGATGCAACGGAATTGAAGTGCCATTCGCAAGGATATTTGCTCCTTGTGTGCGTTTGCTTCTCCTCGAAATGAAATGCTTTCAGGAACAGCTGCTCGCAGGATCTCCCCGAGGCTCGTAAAAGTTTTCGGTATTGTTTGCCCGCTTTTATGGTTTTCAGTTTTGCCCGAAATAATTGTTTGTTGCTGCCGATGTATTTGCTTTTTTTCTTCATTTTAAAACCGACTCTTTTTAATAAGTTTGATTTGTCAGAGTTAAACGAACTTTGCGATAGTTTTACGAGATCCAACTGCCTGACTTTGTAGTCTCGGCCGCCCCTCAAAGGGAACATTTAATTGCAGCCCGAAGTTCTAGGCTTAGAAGAGGGCAAAGATGTTCGCCAACAGACGAGAAAAAATATTTTCACGCAGCTATCGTGCGATTCAGTTTCGGTTTTATGATGCAGACCCATAAAAACCGTCCCTTTGATGCAGCAATATGCCACAGGAGTGCGGCGAGAGGTGACAGGAGTTCGCTGGGCTGCGGTTTTAATGGGCCCAAAACAATCGAAGGGCCAGGACCGCAGCTCTGTTTCTAGACAAGATTTAGATGCCAATGCGCTGCTCTTTCATAATTCCGCAATGCGAATATTTTATTACCTTGGACGAGACCAAAACATTGAAATATGCATTCTGAAGTGTCGTCTTCGCGGTCTGCCAGGGCGAATCGTAAAATAGGAAACCGAAAAACACAAAAAAAATAGCAGAATGTGCGAAGCGTAAGTTTTGATGTTTGGATGCCGGGGGAATGGGAATGGGATCCCCCTTTTCGAGGGGGGCAACTGGAGAAGCCCTTGGCGCCACTTGAGTTTTTAATTAAAGCAAATCGCTTAGCAAAACAAAAGGCTACAAAATGCTAAACGCTGGGAACAAAACCCTAGCCCGTTGTCTTGTCCATCAATGAAAATATAAACAAAAATGCCAATGCCAGCAGCATGGAAATTCAACACTTGCCTCTCCGAATTAAGCAACTGCAAAAGGCAGCGCACCAAGAAAATGCCAAAATGCTTCAATTGTCAGCCAGGAAAGGCGAAAGTGCGAAAAGGGGGCGGGGCAGGTCGGTTCGGGCCAAGAGGAATTGTTTTTCATCTCGAGCCCGGATCGAGACGGGGAACAGGAACCTGACGAGGACCAGGACGAGGCAGCTTTTGTTGCCCACGTTGCAGAGTCATCAGGACAAATGATGAAAAAGCCATTGCATACTTTCGTGCGCAGTGCGGAAGTGCAACCGACAGCTCGACTGCAACCCGTTCAACGGGCTTATACTACGGGATAGAAGGGATCTGGTCCGGGGACCAGGGAGTTGTAGAGTAGGGACCGAAATGAGCCAGCCACCCAAATTGTGAACATAAAACTATGCTGCGAAATTGATTTGATTAAAGGCAACGCGACTGGGCCAGCATGCGAATGAGCTGCAAATGTGGAAGCAGAAACAGGAGCGGTCTGAGTACCGGAACTAACGCCTAAAGAAAGTATATATGTAACTATACTATCTACATATTTTACCTGAAACCCATGTACAGTAAGAAAATATATCTTCCTTACTTTATTTATCAGCAAGCTTATATTATCGTGTGCAAACTGGATATATAGAAACGAAAAGTTACGTAACATCAAGGAAAGAATACCCGATTATACTACGTATGAGATTCGCACGAAATTGAAATTTTTAATGCGATGCATTAAACCATGTTTTGCACTCACATAAATATATAGCTTTGCGCTTAATTTGGTTACAACCCAGAGCTTTCGAATATAATTCTTTTGGCGTTTAATAAATAATCATGTAATATTTAAAATTTTTATATCTTCAGCTTCATACCAATTTTGCACCGTTTGGATCCAACAGATTTTCAAAACATCTTTTATTTCTTTCTTCGTGATCATTTTGCCCAAAATTCGACGCATATTGTTTCGCAGGCTCTGTGCTACTTTTGGCTACTCCCAAAACTCAAGGGCCACTCCGGAGAACATAAAAAAATTGAAGAAGACGATAATGGCTATACCGGAAAGGGACTATTTGGCATGTTTTGAGGAATGGAAAAAAGTTGGCATAAGGATTACTTAAAAGGGAATGAAGTTGATTTAGAAAATAAATATACTGGTAAAAATTTTACAAAACACGGTCGTATTTAATGGGAACTAAATTTTCTTCAGGGGTGCCAAAGAAATCACTAGGATTTAGATATGACTTTTAAATGTCTCTTTAGGTGTCTAAAAGTATGCAACAATATATTTTAAGCTCACAAGAACAAAGATTTCGTTAATTGCTTTATTCACTGTATACCTTTAGACACCTAAAAATAAAATTTCAAAGTGATTTCAAAACTAGCGATTTCTGTGGCACCCCTTGTTGTTAATTTTCATTTCTTTCCCAACTGATTTCGAGATATAACATAAAAGAGTATTTGGTTCGAGCAGCCCGTTCTTTATGAGATGTTGAAAAGGAACTTTGCTGATTTAGAACATAATTTTAAAATTAATTTAATTTTAAATTTCAACAGTTTAGCTCTGTTTGTTAATTTCTTAATGTGAGTAATACTTACACAAAGAGGACAGCTGCCGCTGCTGCTGCTGCCACGGCGGCAGCAACATTGCGATACTGCTACGTGGCAGCCGTCGAGCTGACCAGGTGGTGACCGTGGTGGTAGGCTCCGTTGCTGCTGCTGTGCGCCGGCGGGGGTGGGGGCGGCGTAGTGGGCGTGGCCGATCGCGATCTCTGCCGCCGGCTGTGGATCGGCGTCGTTGTGGAGGAGGTGGTGGCCATTGTGGTGACCATCGTGGGCGAGGCGGCGGAGTTCACGGTGCCGTTGCTGCTGCCCGGACGCGAGGGCTTCTGGTTGTGGGCGGCCGAAGGGCCGCTGGGGCTGCTGGGGAGCGACTGAGGGCCAGCGGCTCGGGCGTCGGCGGACAAATCTGGGTGAGCGGCAGGTGTGTGAAGTGCGCCCCATAGCGACCCTGCTCTATGCTCGGGTAGGTCAGGTACATGGGCGCCCCATTCATAAGGGCGTAGTTGTAGTTGTAATAGATCTGCGCTACAGTGCGGTTTATTTCCACGCGAGCTGGGGATCAACAAAAGTTTTGAGATTAAAATTGGGCGCAGGTAGTTTTTGACTCCAAAATAATGTCTTAAATTCTAAGGGTGCTAGGTCGGGAGAATACACATTAAAAATACTTTTCCGCGATCACTATTTTTGGTAAGCCTTATAGAATATAAATAAAATTGTATTAAAATATCAGATCCTTGTTCCGAGAAATAATCAAAACTTAACCACCTTTTGTTTTAAATTTATTATCTGTTTGTGTAGATTTAAAAAATGAAATTAAATTAAAAATCTAATCATATTCTATTTTTTTCAAGTTATGTTATAACGCTGCTTATAATTCATTTTTAAATGTCGTCAACGTAAAAGGTATTTAAATATATAAATGTTTCAAAATGTTATTTTATTATATGTAACGTCACCTTTTTTTTGTTTAATTATAAAGACCCATTTTAAAATTTATACAAAATATTTTTTGAAAAACTTTCTTGTTCTTTATTTGAAACATAAGAAAGTTCAGAAACACTCCAGAATAATTAAAAAATATACGAGTGGTTGTAGACGGTATACCACATCGTTTATTTTACACTTTTTATATGGAAAATAGAGTAGAACAGCTTAAAGCTATGGCTGGCGGCCATAACATTAACTACGGCCGCACTTAATGTCTATGCCACCCGGCCAAGATGTGCGCCATTTTGGAAGGCACATGAGGAAACGGTGCCCTGGACTCCGAGCTCTGGCCCACCTATGGCCCCGGTATGCACTTTATGTGCAACCTTCGCACGGTGCTCACATAATAAACCCTCCCTACTGCCCCTGACCCGCCAAGATGGCACTCCCCCAGATCCACATCCACATCCACGCCATATCCACATCCACATCCACATCCCGATTCCAGTCCCAGTTGGAGCTTCGGCTGGCTAGAGCCTTTGTCTTCCGCTGACTCCCCGCCTTATCTGCTGGCAAAAACTTTTCAAAATTTTACTGCTTGCTGCAACATCAAAATGCCAAGTTTTTACGATTACGCTGCTGCTGCTGCTGCAATTTTACTTAATTTTAATGGGATTTTTTCTTCCGCCAACTGCAGAATGCATTAAACAGGGCCAGAGCATACGAGAGAGAATTACGCATGAGCGTGCCTCCCCTGGACTTCCTCCCCTTTCTTGGGTAGTTCACCTCCTCCTGGGGGGAGGCGCTGGGATCGGATGGTCAGGGGGTACTGCGGATGGATGGGAGTGGATCGGGTGGAATTCAAGTCGAAGGTACAGTCAATGCCAACCCAAACTAGTCGCAACTAATGCCGCCCGCCCATTGTGCGATTTGACGAAATAATAAAAAGTCGTAAAAAAGTTGTGACCCAAGGTTGGTTGGGAAGGGACGAGGGTTACCGGGTAAGCTCAGGCTCCCCTTATCCCCGGGCATTCTAGTACTTGTTAATATATAGCTAACTCTCATCGGGCTAGTCCATAAACCGAGTCTTGGTGTTGGGTTAATTAGAGGAATGCATTTTCGAGCAGGTTCACCCATGGAGGGAAGGCACCATTACATTCCGATAGTTCTGCGAACCCCTCTGTTTTGGGGTACTCGTACTACTCTAGGTGTAATGAAATAAGCCAAGTGAAAATAGACATAAAGATTTTCACAATTATTTCATCAACTGATTGGAGGACAAGGAAATCATACTTAAACCACTGCTATAAAGCTGGTCAAAAGAACGGTAACGGAATCAGATACCCTCTAACAAACTAAATTAATATGTCTTTTACTTAAAAACTTATGTAAAGAAATTTGTAAATAAATTTGCTAGTGCTGCCAGAATTAAATTTGTACCCTAAATTAAAAAAAAGTAGATAAAATAGATTTTTTACTTTTAATTTACATTTCCGTTCCTAATTGATATGTATTATTTACCTTATTCAATTATTATTAATCAAAAATCATATTTTCTGACTCAGTATAATATTTTCTGCACACGCCTTTTTTAAATATATGATTATTAAATGGTGCAGCAATTTCAGTATGGTCAAGCTGCAAAAAATAAAATTACAAAACGGAACCGGAAATTATACCTTTATTACTTTACATCTTTCTGAATATTCATATAAATATTAATAAGGATCCCGACTGTGCAAGTTAGTTAGTTTTTGCAAACATGTTAATTCTACATGGATAAGCATTTTTAGCATAGAACCCGAACAAGGAACAGATTTCCGGACAGGAGCATTTTAATATTTTTTCCGAATAAAGCCGTTTAAAACTAACTTGGCTGAGCTTAATATATCGTTCTAGCACTTTCCAAACTTTGACCTTTAGATTCAGACTAATTTTTTGTGATTTCATATTTTTCTAAATTATTTTAAGTTAGCTATTTATAAGATGTGTATAATTTAAATAAATATTAATGTCATCTTACAGCAATATCGTTATTCTGTAATAGAAAGACGCTTAGTATAATAAGCTTGTTTTATAGAAATCAAAGCAAAAATTGTTTATAAATTTATCAAAGGAAGCCACAATGCAATGTTTTTTAATTTTGTTACGAAATAAATATTTGCTGACCTACTTGACTGACAATCATTTCTCAATCTCTGTTTATAGGATTAGTAGTGCTTCTCTCTCTGGAGGTGTATAATCTAAGCTCTTGCAGGCCACAAAACCTCGACAATAAGTTAACGCTTGAATTCACTTGGCGACAGAGGAATAAAAGTAGCCCAAGCCCTGGTCAATTTTAGGGGTAACTATGTCCAGCCCGATTACGCAGGAAGCCTTTATGACAAACTGGTTGCTTATTATTTAGCGAGCAAGGACCAAGGCCATGATAAATCATGATTGTCTATGGGAAGCTATGGCTATGCATGTGGATCAGATGTCTGGCACAAGTGGCAGCTTGTAAGTCGTAGGGCAGTAAAAATGACAGTAGCGAAACTTGATGGGAAATGAGGAGCTGCTGGGAAGTGGAGTAGAAGTTGACGCTGCACAAATATTTTACGATCCACCCACAATATGAAGTCGTAAAGTTGAAAATTTTTGCTTCCTGCTGCCGCTGGGTCTGCGCTTTCCTATAGTTTTTAATAAGCATTGGTAAATGCTCGGGATGAAAGTGGAGAGGAATTTGTACAAGACTCGCTGAGCCGAGCTGGGTTGAAATGGGCTGGGCGACTGCCCATACGACCACGATGATGATGATACGGCTCGCAGCTCGTTATGGCGCCCCGTACAAAATGGTATACCAGCGAGTCTATTTTTTATGGGAAAACAAAGAAAGGCGTCGCTGAAAATATGACAGAACGCAAGGATACATGAATGCGTCGTAAAATTGTTTCGAGGGGTTGGGTTAGATTCCTTAAAAAATTACTATACGCACTGAGTCATACGAATATTTGATCATCACTTGTGAAGAAGTCCCATTGCTTAATTCAGAATACTCAATAAAGATAGTTTAGGTAAAAGAAGTTCCTAGTTGGCAAAGAAAGTGTGACAAATCTATACTTCTTAATCGTTCATTGCAAATTTAAGTCTGAAAAATTAAAATTATTTAAATATTTTCTACAACGTTCTTATACATACTTAAACTAGCTCTGTAGGTCTCTTTGCCCAGACAAACTAGCTTCATCGTTTTTATTTGTTATTAAGTAAGCATGACTTTCTGTTTAGTAAGCAGGAACATAAGCTTCTTGGTACACCTTATTGATTTAATTTAAGAATTATAGCTTATACCATATAGTTGTAAGAATCTAATATGTTGCAACTGTAAAGCTGTGAAATAAACAAACCAATTGTTCAGGGTGTCGATATTTGAGTATAGAAATATATAAAATTAAACGGAATTTCACATAATATCCTCCTGTACATAAAACAAAAAGGAACCTTGAATATTACAATAAAAGTCTCAAATCGTTGGCATCAAATCCCTTCACATGTCGGGCGATTCCTTCGCTTACTTCGCGCACAATTCAACCATAAACACTTTTAAGCTTTATGGTGCCCACATTTACACGTCGCCATTGCCTATCCACAGTATCCCAGAAAATCTCCCTCTACCTTCCAGTCCAAATACGATTCCTGAAATTTCATCGTGACTCGTTTAGTGCCGAGAAGCGATGTTGAGCTGTTACGGCCGGAGTATTGCAGCTACCTGGTGGCGGACTAGAGCCGTTTATCCCCAGCTGGAAAAACATAGCCCGTAGGTGGGATTCAGAGTCGTACACTAAGAAAAATTGTAGGATGGAAGTTGAAATTATCAGGATAAATGCTAGTTTGCACTCTTTCGATGGGTTTAAAGATCCAGTAGCATAGCAACTATTTTAAAATTAGGGTAAAAGAAATTTTTTTGAAAAAAAAATTAGTTTAATAACAGCACAATTTCTATAAAAATTGAAAAGTACGTTGTAGATAAAGACCAATTTCAAATTGAAACATAAATTTAATGCAAACATTTTTTCAGTGCAGGCCTTTGGGCAATGGTGTTGGCAATGTCGTAAATTTTTCGCATGCATTTTTCGGTTTAATGATGCATTTACGATCCCAGCAGCAGTGGCGACACAAGAAACTCCCAGCTCCCAACTCAGAATCCCTGAAACCTGCCTCTAGAAAACTTCATGATGCTGGGACGTGCATTGGTAATGGATTCGTGAAATGGCAACAACTTGAAAAGCAATCGTTACAATTTTTAATGTCATTAACAAAACAAACAGCAGCTGATACTCCCACTTTAGTGGGGCAATTCTAAGGATTTCAAGGAATTTCCGTTTCCTTTCGATTATTCAACGTTGCGCTCATCTCATCTCACCAAAACTGATTTTTTGTTTAAGGAAAATAGTTTATTTTTGACATTTCAGGTTTATCCTTTTTATAATATTCCGTTGGGCTAAATCTTACTTAAGTTCGTAACAATATTTTACAATGTTAATGAGAATTAATTTTGTTATTAAATATTACAATTAGAGTTTCGCAAGACATCGATAAAGTAACCTAAACATATTTATAATTTGTGCACCATCTCACAACAGTTTGATACCAAGACCCCAGGAAACATGCATACATTACTTCAAGGGTTACCAAGTAAGTACCTTGTTAAGATACAAATTCACACGCAGAGAAGAAACTTGAGATTAGCTTGTAAGCCTAATTGAATGGGTCTTTAACTTAGTTTCCTATTGCTTTTCAATTGAGTGCAGTTGATCAAAAACATCATTTTGTACTTAGATTCAGTTAAGTACTTAAGAAAAGTTAAAATAACATGAATGACTGACGTGAGGCGCTTTTAATGGCTTTAATTAGACAGCGATTTTCGTTTGACCGGAATATCACACCCAAACCCAGAAATTAAGACTTAAATAAGGTTGAACTAAAGCTATACAACCGATGTGCAGATTTGTGATGCGAACGTGTTGAAATGTTGATCGTTGATTTGGCATTGGTTTTTTGAAAATGTTTGAGAACGTTTAATAAATATTGTGCTTCGATTATTTTTATTCGTTGGCGGCAAGGGCTTTGTTGCAAGTTGATTAGTTCCATTGGGGATTGTTGATTGAAGAGAAGAGAATGTTGAATGTTGATTGTTGATTGTTGATTGGCGGCCATCTCAGACATCTCAGCATGGGGTAATGTTGATTGAAGAAAAGTGACGCGGGGACCGGCGGTCACACATCGACATATTTGGCTTGTTGATTGAAGATAATCCAAGTTGCGCTTTAGCTTACCGATAAATTCGATATATGTACAGAGGTACCGCTCCTTAAAACGCTAAGTTACTCAACTTTAAGATACGAAAGTTAAATTCGCGCGATTTCACCGAAGCATTAAGCTAATATGCGATGCAGAACAATAAATATCAGGGCAAAGTAATGTGCGTTACTCTAGTTAATGAAAAATTATCATCCACATTGCCGCGTTGTGTTGCGAAGCTCACCCCCGTCATAGATATTCAAGTTATGCTGACGGGAGTACTCATTCACAACGTATTGGCCTGGTTTAGATCAGATCGAAAGACATTCGGCATTGATTATACAAGTATACTTCACAGCGATTTCGGGGGTAAAATGGTGGGGGCTGTTTCAATGATCAGTTCACTTACCCTCTTCGATTCGCCGGGAAGCCTCTTCAATATTGGCGTCTGCATCCTTCAATATCACATACATGAGCGGCATCAGCTCCCAAGGATAGCGGAATTTCTCTAATAGCTTTTGGCAATAGTCTAGGAAAACGTCTTGGCCTGAAAAACAAAAGAACATGTGGAATTCATAAGTCTCTCGTTCCCATGCTTCTCAAAAATCAATGATCGGCAATCGATCCCCAGTTCCCCCATATTTTTTCGCAATCAGCTTCATTGACAAATCTCCTCCACATAAACAAACAACTCGACATGGGTAGCTGGATCAAAGTAGAGCCACTCTTTCTAGAATTTCGCCAGTCTGCAGAAGTGATTCGTGCAAAAACCGGCAGACAGCGATGTGCAACGTAAACATGGCGGCAAAAACGTCGGCACAAATTGCAACTCAATACGGGGCACCCATTGATATCGAACAAGAATATACAACACTTCGAGTCTCAAACCAGTAGCATAAGCACAATAATTAACTATGCGGGGCTAAGCAAATTGCTCTAGCTTCAGTTTTATAGTAAGCAATCCCAAGAACAATTTTAGTGTACAATGTAGATAATTTCCATAAAATTTAAACGATAGGATATCCAGCTAGCAAGTATGTAGTTAGTTGTAAGACAAAATGTTATAATCAAGCTAAACATGTTAATCTTAAAGTTGGAAACCAGCCTTAAACTATAATTTACATGATAAACACGTTATATTACACTTTAATTTTTAGGAGGACACTACATGTTGTTATATTAATTTGATTTTCCCCGACTATACTGTTCTTTTAGTAATGTATTATAAGGTCATATCATATTAAAGCTGTTAAAATATTTCAATTTGTTCCGAAAAAATATTAGATATAGAAGCACAAATTTAGTTTTTTAATTTAATATTGACGACCGTTCAGTAAATATTCTATAAGTCATGACAGCAAGGAACGCAAGAACACGCTATAGGCGTTATATGTGAAAAGTAATATAAAAAGTCTTAAAAAGTGTTATTGAATGTCAAAATAAAGGTCATATACATAAAATAAAATATGTAAAAGGTTTTAATTCTGAGTTATGATAAGTTCTGTGTAATGATAAAGAACTTTTAAGTCTATTTATCTATTTTTCAATTCAGATTTACAAGAAGCTTAAATGTATAAATCATTTTAAATTTATAAATAATATTCGTAAATAAATATTTTGTGAAAGGGTTAGTATAATCTTAGTGAGTAAATATTTTTTGGACTAACAATCAAGACATTGTTATTTATTTCTCTGTATGTATACCTACATTTTGTATTAATATTGTGCCCGCTGGTGTTGCCTGGCACTTTTCTCTTTTACCCGCCGAACTTATGCCATTATGCTCTTCGTATCGCCAGCCATTTTTTCGTTTTTTCTTGTTTTTACCTACACAGCAACAGCAGCAGCAACAACACACCAGCAACGGCACGGCAGCAACACGAACAACAGCAACATTGGCCCGTCGTCGACATCGTTGTCGGTAGTTTGGTTGTAGGCGGAGCTTCATATCCATTGGCCCGTTTTATTATGGCTCTCTGCTCGCAGCTCCTTTAATGCGGCCGTTGGTGTTGTGTTGCTGGCGTGCAAGTGTTGCTGTTGGGGCTGATGTTGCTGCCGTCGCTGTTGCTGTTGGTGTTGCTGCTGTTGCATGCAACACATGCAACACGGGCGCTGTTGCAGGGAGTTTGTGGTGCCGGATTTGCATTGGCGCACTCACTTTGCGTGTGCGAACTTGACTTGAAACCCGTTTTTGGAACAGCTCCACTTCCTGTTGTTGCCGCTGCTGTTTCTCGTGTAACTTTTCGTGAGCGTTGCCCACATGCTCACTCATCTGGCCGCGTTGCACGAACATTTGCCGCACTGTCTGCGCCTTTTTAATTTAGTAATTAAGCCATTAGTGGGTTGACCATTGTTTGGCCGCTGTTTTGTTAGCATTTTATGCTGGCAAATTATTTTATTGGACGCAAATAAATATAATAAATTGATTTATTGCTGCCACAACCGCAGTTTGCCATGGCAATAATGCCCAAACAATTTTACTAGCCCTACTCGCATATTTATTTGCCGGCGCCATTGCATTTTAACCAATGCGATTTAGCGAGTGTAATTGGACAAGAATATGTTAACAACAGCCGGTTAAATTGCAAACAGGGTTAGAATAATCTAGCTCTAATTTGTTTTTCTAAGCCACAATGTGGAACCGCAAAAGTCAAAAACAAAACGAATTACACCTTTTATGACCTTTCAATTTAAAATAATAGTTTGTACTTATTTTTGGCTTCCTAGGGATTTAAACAAATGTTAGAATATGTTGGGAACTTTTAATATTAGGAAGATGACTTGACTTGAAACCCGTTTTCGGAACAAATCACTTCCTGTTGTTGCCGCTGTTGTTTTTCGTGTAACTTTTCCTGAGCGTTGCCTCATGTTCTCATCTGGCAATATCTTTTTTAATAGCATATTCTTTATGAGGTTTTAAGCCCCTACAGTTTTCTGTTGCATCCAGTTGTACCCTTATTTTATGAAAATTTATGAGATCCTTAATTCATGAAAAGATTTAAAATCAAGTCGACAAACCGATATCGTTTACCTCCAGTAAAGGGTTGACTTTAAAATAAATAAATGTGATTTCTTAGGGGTTTTAATTTTTTTTTTTAATAAATCGGCTATATCGATGGGGATAGCAATATATAATATTACTCTCTTTTCCCTTTGGAAAATAGTTCGATTAGGAGTAGATTTTTCAGTTAATTTAAATTTCGAAACTTAAAAATGTATTAAAAAAAAACCTTAAATACTTTCTAGCCATAACAGTGATATTTTGATAACAACATATTTTTTTGATTTATTTTGGATCAATATAAAAAATTTCCTTTTCAATAAATTTCGAAAATCCTCTTTAAAATTATGTAGTCCAAAAATGTATAATAATGTTGATAAATACCTTAAGAACTGAAAGCGAGACGGGAAAAATGTATTAAACTAAAAATTGTAGCTATTTCTTATCGAATTGTAACCAGTCCTGCCGAAACATGCATGTTAAGTTGAGTCCTACATTTATTTAATCCCGAACATTTTAGTCACTTTAAACGCAAATCCAAATAGTACACACATTACACAATATTTATATAAAACGTTCGGCAAGCGTTGGTAACGCCCACTTGGCACGAAAATTCTCCCCGCACGAAATGCTGCAGCTGTCGCCGTTGCACCGCCACTCCCCTGCAGGAATATGTACTACCATGTATCTGTGGCTATACATATATATATATGTAGATCTGCTAGATGCACGTCTATATGCATGTACAGTTAGCCAGTAAACGATGCCATTAACGCGCATAAAGCGACTCTGCGCAGGGCCATGTGGAAGGAGAAGTGGGTACACAAATCCAAGCCCAGGGAGGTGTATATACCCTGGTACATGGGAGTGCTATGTGTGCAGGCTGCAGTGGTACTGGTACAAGTACTAGTACTGGTTCTGGTGCTGGTGTTGTTATTACTTTTATTACTGTCCAAACTGCAGCTAACCTTCCACTCGGCAATCGCCGAACTCAACGGCACCGAGTCCTCTCTACGAGGTCCTCGTTTCCCCAGCTCCTTTGGCAGCGTTTAAGTCGTTAGCAAAGTTTTCCTGCTCGTTTTTCTGCGCCTTTTTATGAGTTTGTTGCTGCAGCACGAAGCTCTTTCTGGTTGCTCCTGCTGCAGCTGCTCGGGGAGAACAGTTTCTGGAGGAGGTTTTATATATCCTATATATAGTTCCTTGTACCAATTGGCAGGCGTTACATGGCCAAGGCATCCCGCTCGGCAACCACTTCGTTCGTAGCTGCCTTTTCCATCCAACCATTTTCTGCATTTATCTAGACGGTTTCAAAATTGGTATCTACCCGGAAGTCGTTTATTATTTTTAAGAATTTTACACGTTATTTGAGAAATGCGCATACGCAATGTTGCACATTTGGGCCTTGCTGAATTGATTTTTTTTATATTACCCAAGAGAATTATCTTGATATGCTAATCGACTTATAACATTGTATCATAAAGACTATTTTCATGTAAAAATACATTAAAAAAAGGAATGCTCGTACTATTAATTTTAAACCTGTCCCTAGTTATGTAAAAGGGTATATTGTAACGTGTAGAAGAAAGCGTTTCATAACCTTTTTGTTTTTAACAACCTTTTAAAGAGTTTCACACTATTAATTTGTTTACTATCGAAAAGACTATCAGATACCCGTTACCCAGGTAAAGGGACCAAAGGGAAATGGAGATATGCAAGCAGCAAAGCGAGATTAAAATGCGCCACCTACCGGCGGTAGACAGATTTAAGCGTTATGGGCGTTAGAGTGGCAAACTTTTTTTTTTTGATATCGATAGGTATTGACCAGACCAATAAATTTCAGTTAACATCTTTTATCTAGCATGAAATTGTGGGCGTCACAGGTTGCGCGGTTGTGGGCGTTAAAGGGGCGTGGGTCAATTGAACCCTGCTGAAACAAACTTGCGCTGCGTAAGAATCTCAGGAATCTGCACGCCAAATCTTAATAGCCTAGCTCTTATAGTTTCCGAGATCTCAGCGTTCATCCGGACGGACAGACGGACGGACAGACGAACATGGCTAGATCGACTCGGCTAGTGATCCTGATCAAGAATATATATACTTTATGGGGTCGGAAACGCTTCCTTCTGCCTTTAACATACTTTCCGACGAATCTAGTATACTCTTTTACTCTACGAGTAACGGGTATAAAAAAAAGGCAAGCCGAAGTTGGTACCCTGGTAGCTTTACCATATCATGCAGTTAAAAGTGCAACTAAACATACGTATAATTTTTGTTTAAATAATTGCTGTAACCCAGATTAAAAGAAAACATGATCAAAAACAAGAAAGCTAGAATGTGTATACCCGTTACTCGCAGATTAAACGGGTGTATTGGAATCGCCAGGAAGAATTTAACAGGTAAAAGAAAAAGTTAGCGAACATATATATATTCATGATCATTCTCTCAATCAGTATCACTAACGAAGTTTTTCTGTGTATCCATATGAAGGCTGAGATCTCGGAAACTACGAAAGCTACAAAGTTGGGATTAAGCATGCAGCCTCTAGA